TGGCAGCACCTCCCCCGCTGAGGTGTGAGTTATCCTTTGAGTTGCGTTAGGTTTGGCAAATCATGCCTGAAGGTGGCTGTGGATTACTTAGCACGAGGTCCCTCCTGCATATTATAGCTAAGTTCAGTCATTTCTTCCAGTGCTTTATGAAGATACTATTAACAATATATCAAAATGAGGGGGGAACTTTTCATAGTCACCAAAAGGAGGTCACGCTGGGACTTGGTTCTGACTCTTTTGCCTTTGGGTGAAGATTGCTCCCTGGTGCGGTGTTCTCCTGCCCCTGGTTTCCCCCAGCAGTGACTGGGTGTTCCTGCACAGGGATGCTCCTGCCCAGCCCTGCCGAGAGCAAGGTTGGGCTGGGGTAGGTGGGTAGGACATCCGATGGTGCTGGGACTTCGAGTCGTTGACTTAGTTACAAGGAGCACTGAGCTCCCTGTGAAGAAAACATCCAGTTTACGCCTTAAACACCAGTAGTGGCTTTTGCTGTTTCCCTTGTATCGCTTACTTGTTTGTGCTGCTGTTGGCATGGGTCTCTTGTACTTTGCATATTTCATGTGGAAATGACATTAAAGATTGGCCAGACTTCAACTGATGTTGATGACTCTGTTGCTGAAAACAAATAAATAAGACCCAGTCAACAAACAAATGATGACTTACTGAAAAGTAGTTTCAGTGGTTTCTCAACTTAATTGAAATCTGGATCCTGTCTGTGTGACCTCAGTAGAACAGAAATGGCAGTCCATGAATTTTCTTTTAAAAAAAAGTAGTACAAAAGGTTAACTGAAAAATGGTGGGGAAAATCAAGTAAAATAGGATTCTTGGTTACCAGGGTGTTCCGATGGTTGCATCAAAAGAAAACCAAAATATTAGATGGATCATACAGCACCAAAATGTAACCTCACTGAAAATATAAAACTTCTGAAATAAGTTTTGAAAATCAACAGTTCCAGGCAAAAGAAAAATATTCTTTAAAGAAACAGATGTAGTTTAATGTTCCTAGCTACATTTCACTTCCAGTATAATAAAATAAAAGAGCTCTTTTGAAGGCTTAGGGAATAAGTGATCATAAAAAATTGTATGTGACAGCCAGCAGAGAAAGTATCAGCTGCTATGGGTGGCCTTTACCACACTGAGCAGTGGCTGAATTCTGGTACCAGGCTAGTGAAAATGAGGAAGCTGAGCTTTGCTTGTCCAGTCCTGGTCTTGCAGCTAGCCATTTCTGGCATTGACTAATGCTTATTTGCAGAAGCTTGCATAGCTTCAAAGAGGCATGCACCACAAACAGTACTGGCATTAAATACACTTAATTATCAAATATATAACTCTACATTAGAGTTGAGTTTGTGGCTGGAGACACCAGGGTCCTTGCATTAAGAGAAGAAACAGACTTTGAAGGACCAGCCAATGTATCGTACTCTGTTCTGGTATTTGTGTGTCTTGTGTGGTGTAAACTGGGTGAGTGATTAGAGATCACAGGGCAAAATTCAAAGCTTGTAATTCCCCCTCTAGAAAGAATTTGTGGTAGTATTGTTAGGTGGCAAACGACAGAGTTTCATGTTGATGTCACTATGTATATATTTGCAGGCTTGGTACACATGTGAGGCAGTTGTATACTTGTACCCACTCAACTCACTACAAGTGGCATAGTGATGAATCCTTATATATAAAACTGAAAAAGTGCTAATAATCATCATGGTGTAGACAGGACTGCATATGCACAGGAGTTTGTAACAGTTGGGCTGGAAGGATTAGAGAGAAAGAAAAAAAAAAGATGAAGCCAGTGGTAACTTACTTACCTGCCATGTATTTCTTAGTAACAGAGTGATGGTGACACAGCCAGTCCTGTGTGTGAAGACTTTTATTGTGATCTTGAGTACTTTGAGTGTTCTCTTCCCAAATAATTACTTGCAATAGAAAGCCAGGTGTATAGCCATGCTCTTTCTTCTTGGGACTTACATTCCTTTGTACAGCCACTCTCCGAAAAGAGCTCTCTGTATATGTTGTGGAACGCTGGTGCTGGGGTCATGCATACTGAGTGACCCAACCTCTGCAGGCAAAGCAGCACCTATGGCTGTCTTGCCGTGACGTTAGGCCATCTGTGGGGGTGCCATCAGTTTGGTATTTGAGTGCTTGCAGGAGAGAAGAGAGAATGAAGGCTGTTGAGGAAGTAAACTTGGCTCTGAGCCGAGTCTTCTCTGAAACCTAGCTGCTTTTCTCTGCAGAATCTCAATTGTGAAAGTAGGTCTGTTGCCTGGCAAGCTTGTACACTCTAAGGCATGAATTCACATCTGAGTGCTCAGCAGAGAACCTGAGGAACCGAGCAGTATTTGCAAGAACACTCGGCCCAGCTCTCCTGTGTCCTGCAGCCCTTGCTGCGGTGCCCAGCGTGCTCAGCTGCTGTGACTGTTATAGCAGCCTTAAAATAGAGACCAAGGCAATGCCTGTGAAAAAACTGTGCAAGTCTAAAACAACTGTACAGAGCCAAATTCTGCTGTTGACGAATACTGTGGCATCAAATTCAAGCAGGGAAAGTAGGATCTGGATATATGAGGTAGAATACAGTTTTGCCATGAGCTTAGATAAAATATGCAGAAGAACCACCATTTTGCATCAGAATGCATTTTAGCTCCAGTGTTAACATCCCAGTAAAAGACACTCTTAAAGTGGCTTAGTGAGCCTACCAGTAGGAATTGCTACTGACACCATTATTTCTCCTTGAGTCTCATTTTGGTTGTCAAAGGTTTTAAGTGCAATAAAAACATTAATAGTAAACTTAATGGAGATGAAAATGTGTGTTTGTAGCAGCTTCCTATGAGCTCCAGGGTGTAGGAATAGGCCTGGAGAAGGAGGGACATCAGGTTTTTTTTGTTTGTTTGTTTGTTGTTGTTTTTTTAATTAAATCACAAAAAAAACCTTGTGAAGAGGGTAAAATTACAACAAAGGTGACTTTTTTTCCTTCCTTGAAGCAAAACGTAAGACAGGGTGTGCTACCACCTCTGCATTTTTTTTTTCTTTTCGTTTTTATCAGCAGATACAAAGATCTGAGAGCAACCTATGCCATAAGGGTATCTGATGATGCTCTCTCTTCTCTTTTATACTTGCAATAAGGTGAGCGTATGATTTTCAGACCCCTGCATAGAGTTACTCCATGGGGTGATCTTGCTTGGATAACAGCGTTTTCAACCTCTCATGCATTGCTGAGTTGCTGAGCCACAGCTTTGCACCTGAAAAGCCTTGCCCATATTTAGCTTAAGGTTCACTCTCTGATTTAAAACTTTCAAGTAGCTTTTGCTGGGATTGTATGAACTTGCTTCATTCTTCCTACAGGCATGGGTACCCCAAAACAAAAGCTTATACTGTGCTTCCACGCTATGCTGATGGGCCCCAGTAGGCAGTCTGCAGCCCTTGTGTAACAATCACCTACCATGGTGCTGGTTTATCAGGTGTGTGTGGGAAATAATAAGACTAAACACATTTGGGTTTTGTGCACCATCAGCTGAACTCCTAGGCAGATAGTTTGAAAATTGGAATAGCAAGAGCAGTCTTTCACCTAAAATTATTTATGCTGTTATATCTAGTAGTTATAAACAAGTAAAATAAAATATTTTATTAGCTCTTTTATGCTGTGTCTGCAGTAAGAAATTATAGGGTTTACATTTCTGATGCTGATAAAGTCTTTCAGGAAGTTACTTTATGCAGCTATAAATCAAAGGTTACCTTTCAGATTGCCTATGAAAACTATATAATAATTAAGATGTGGAGCTCTGCTTCTCTAAGGTTAAGTCCTGGTGTGCTTAATTTCTTGTAATTTTAACATAGTAACAATTTAACTGCACCTTTCTGTCATCTCGTCTAGAAGCATATCTGATAGAAAATGACCATCCAGCTAGTCAGTCTTTAATAAGCTGAGAGAAACTAAGGTGAAGGGACAAAGTGGACTTACATCATAGGATTTTATTGGTAAAACAGTATTCCTCTCTCAAGCTCCAAAGTACAGCTTTGCTATATTAAACATAAAAAAAAGGAAATGCTCTTAGATTATTCTCTCCTCGTCTAATTTAAAAAAATAATCCCAAAGTTACTGTGCTTCTACTGGTAAAGCTCCAAAAGTGCAGGTATGGACCTATAACAAGTGTGAATGAATCAGCAATATATTCTTGCAATACTTTAAACACCTTATATTACTTATATTACCAGTTTATTTTAAGAGAGGCTCTCTACTTATAAACTGTATTCTCCCAGTTGCGGTTGTATGAGTACAATTTTTGAGAGACTTTCTAGGCTGTCTGAGCATGTTTGTGCTGCCTTGCTGAAGCCACTTGTGTGCATGCAAGAATAAACATATGTACATAGAAAAGAAATTTGCAGATACTGTGTGAGTATGGGAAATGGTGGTGTCCTGTGTCTATTATCTGGCATCTTTTGACTCCGGTCCCTGTTTCAGCTACTGAATGTTTCCCAGAAGGACTTGTTGAAGGTTGCCAGACTTAATGTAACCTTCCACTTCTGTTTTCAGTAACTAAGAACTAATTTTCTTCTCCTGTTTTGCCTTTACTCAGCTGATCTAGGCTGTTGTCACTTTCTGCGTCTACTTTTCGTGTTGTTTACCTAAAGGAATGTAACAAGTGACGTGCTGTGGGCCATTGCCAGCCAGCCCTGTCTCCTGTTGCCATCTTTTTCCTTTGGTACTCGTATGAGCAGTATTTGATCGTTGCTCAAGAGCAATGCTTGTATACAGCATCTCTTCACCTTGAGTCATTGGCGTCTTGTTTGGAGAGTTGAACTAACCTTCCTTTTCTGTTCTGAAGTAACAAACACTGTGCGTCTGAATCATGCTAACCACTGTCTTTGTCTTCCATTAATTGTCAATTAATTTTTTTTTTCTAGACCCTCCTTTTGGCTGGGGAACGAGACCTTGAAGGTGCCTGTAGCACTTTTTGCCTTGAATAGAAGACGGCTGTGTGATCGCCTGAGACAGAATAAGGATGTCCAGAAGAATTCGGTTGTTCTGCTGCAGGGTGGAGAAGAAACCCAGAGATACTGTACCGATACTGGTATTGTGTTTCGCCAGGTAAGAGCTGAATCAAAACTTGAAATCAAATTAAGAAACTGTCTCTTAAACTGCATGAATTTTTAAATGGTTTTAAATTATTTTCCCTTTATCTCTCATGTGCATTGCCTTGCTTCATTTAATTGTCTTCTTTATAACATTGCCTCTTTACCTTCAAGTTACTCTCTCTTTCAGTGCTTTAGTATGCAGGCTCGTTATCTGGTTTAAAGGGCCTAAACATGTTCAAGGCCCTATTGCCTATCAATGTTTAACGTGCTATTAAAGACAACAGTGGAATATTTCTTAGTTTTTTCAGTCTTGTCTGTGACCCAAAAAATAACCTTCTTTCTGTAGTGAAACATGTGACAGTGGACCTAAACTGAATTAATCCACAGAAAAGCAGTTCAAGCTTTTAGTAGTAATGTATTCCAGGAAGCAGGATGTGTCTTAGAATTTACAACATGTGTCTTCTCAAATTACACGCTTTCTTAAGTACCCATGTGTTCTTCTGTCACAGGTAGGATTTAGTACCTTGTTAATGTCATGTGGAACACCGTCTTTGGGAAAGTTGGTGTAACAGTACTCTAATAATGCATACTCCTGCAAAGCTGTGTGCTTTCCATGGCTGCTACAGTACTTTGTTTTGTGAATTTAATTGAGCTGTTGTATGCTATGAAGAAACAAAACCAATAACTCTAATTTAGGTAGCACATATCTTAATGTAGTTATTGATCTGGTTTTAGAGGAGATGTACCTTTCAGGATATTGGAGCATATGTTTGTCCTTACCAAGATTCATCTCTGTATTGTTAGGTGTTTTGTTGTTTGCTTGCTTATTCTTTAAATAACTCTTGGTTAAAGGCTGTTCCTAGTACAGCTTCCTCTTCACTTCAGCACTCTGCCATCGCAACCCAATGAATCTGCACTCTGCTTTTGCCTTGTCTCATGTGGCATGATTGTTTCTTCCTGATACTAATTCTAGATTGGAAGAATCTATTTTATTGTGTGGTGTATATTTATTGTGCTGAGTTGACCTGTTTATTTCTTATGGTAGCTTATTAATCTCAGATCCTTTCCAGTTGCCAACAGAGGGATTTGTATTATTGTAACCTAAAACTAGTCAGTCTGAAAAGCTTTAGACCTAAACCACTTCCCCCCGCCCACACCAGAGAGATCTCTTTCAGATACATGGAAGTAAGAATTAGTATCTACTGTAGTGTATTTTTAGAGCTGGTAGAAGTGAGTGGTTTCTTTTAAGAATATATTTTGTCTTAACCTAGGAATCTTACTTTCACTGGACTTTTGGAGTAACTGAAGCGGGCTGCTTTGGAGCAGTAGATGTTGATACTGGAAGATCCATGCTTTTTGTTCCACAACTCCCTGAAAGCTATGCAGTTTGGATGGGAAAGTAAGACATCTCTTTTAACTGTGTTCTGATGTATCTCGGTACTTCATGTAATGTAACTGTCTGTAGAGCTGGCATACTGTCTCATTTTAATCAGATTCCACCAAATCATCTGGTGTTAATTGTAGTGATATGTATGTACAATGATATAAAACATGGTCAGTTGGTATTGATCGTGTGATATTAAATGATCCACCACCATTTGGTAGAGAATACCTTTAGAATTGGAACCCATGGATCTCATGGTATCCATGAAAGGAAGCTGAACTGTGAAGAAAAGTAGAAGTCTTGTGTTAAGACCAAACAACTTAAATAGTAAAGCAGGCTTTTTCAAGTGGCTTTACCAGTTTGCAGCTGCCTTAGCTAATGAAGCTTTTTGAATGGCAGAAGGTAGTTTAGCCTCTTTGATTTTTTTTTTTTTTAATATGAACTGACAGACTGAGGAATGTGATTTTAATTGTATTCTGTGAGTATGCCATAAACATCTCTCTATCCACATTGGTAGTAAATATTGCTCAGTGCCGTAGTAGTGGAGGAATTGATTTATTTATGTGTTCATTTCTTTTCTCAGTCTTAATTGTATTTATACCCTCTAACAAACTGTAAATTTTTTGTTGTCTACATTGTCTCAGAACATCAGATTACTTCTAATTTAATATTTTGAGCTCAGGTTGCTTTGCTTCTAATTGAAGCTATCACTTATATTTTAATGCTAATTTTGGGAAAAGGAAAACAATCACAACCAATCCCATATGCTGAACTGTGCCAGACCATATGGTGGGGCATGGCTGCTGTCTTCTGAGAGGGTTTATATGAATATCACTGTCTTAGACCTGCCTGGGAACTGAAATTGTTTGTGATAGCAGTATTCACATTTTTATGCTATCTGAAATATTTCAGCTGAGAGCTGCACCTGTCTGGGAGGGCAGGTTCTGTTTAACCCCTATGTGTACTCTCTAAAGTCTGTTCCCTAGTGGTGCTTGTTCCCATTTATAGATAAAGCTTTTTCCTCCCCCTAAGTTCTCTTCTGCTAGTTCAGATCAGCTTTCATACCCGCACTGGTTGTGCCTAATCTGAAAAGGCTTAACAACATTATTGAAATTCCACTGTCTCGTTTTGCATTTTCAAACAAAAATATTGTGGTGTTTATAAATGGTGACCTTTTTGGTTTGTTTGTGCAGCACTTGTTATTGGTTCATTTACAGAATTACAAGTCTGGTTAAAAGTGGTTTATTGTCATTGTGTCTTCTTGTAGAGTATAACAAATTGTCTTTATCACAGCATCCTTCATTTCTAAATTCTCCTCCTTGCCCTTCCTGAATCCCTCTTTGAATTTTTGTTTTCTCTTCTGTCAGCCATGGTCATGTAGTTTTTCTGCTTGTCAAAAGGAGGATGGATGAATAACTCATTTGTGAGTCAGTAGCAGTTCTGCTTCATAAGTTGGTTGGCAGGGGGTACTGCACACAGCTAGGGATTGTGTTCCTTCCCAGAAGCCTCAATTTTAAGTCAAAATTAGCACTGAAAGAAAAACACAAATAAGTTTGCCTCCCATCCGCTGTTGTTTATCTACTATAGTTAGCCTTGGAAGTGGTTGTTTCTGTGCATGTGGAAGGCACACTGTCTACCCACTGAAGAAACATGCATTTAACATCAATGAAGCACAAATCAATTCAATGCCTTGTACAATATTTGCAAGGTTGGTATTATACAGAGGTCTACAGCTGGTCTTCTAGTTCATAGCACAGAATGCAGTTGCCTTGCCTGGTATTTATATTGTTTTCTATGTAAGACAGATGTGGGAATGTGCTATGTGAGTTTAGGCAGAAATGCATAGATTCTCTTAAAATTAATGCAGAAGGCTCTTTACTATTACTTTACTGCTACTGTATTACTACATGCATTGTTGGATGTAGTGTTGTGCTTTCCTTTCTGAAGGACACATACTTGGGTTGTTTTCGAAATGTAGCTTAGGTCGTGTAGCACTCAAAAGGGTTAACCTTTTTGCCTTGGAAGTATTGCAAAAGTGGGGCTTCTTGGCTTCTTTCAAATTGCAGTCTCAGTTTGGCCAAAACCAATGAAGTGTCTCAGAGCATTTGCTTGGAGATAGCAGACTATTAATTTACAAATGAGACCATAAACACTGTAATTATTTTAGTCTCATCAACTGCACTTGTTTTTATCAACAATTTTGCATGCTGAGGTGGTGCATGGGGACTCTGAAGAACAGGTGAACATGGAGATGATGAAGGCACAGCCCTGGGCTGTGGTCTGGCAAGGACCCAGCACTATGTAGTACCAGGTTTGAGGGTGACTACCACTTCTTTGGAAGTGTTACACATCTCGAAGGACTTCTTGCTGAATGTATACGCTCTAAAGATTTGTAAATAGCTGTAAGGCTACTCTTTAGGAGTCCTTAAGCCGGAATAACCTCTGCAGTTTTAAAAGGGAGGAGAGATTTAACTTAACTCACAATTTAGACTATGGCCATTCTCCAAAAAACCCACAACCTCTTAAGGCGGTAATGGCAGAAATGTTAGGAGGGTGTTCGTAGGACTGGTGGTCCTACTTTCATGTCAGGAAGACACCACCATAACGGTCAGTCTGTTTTTAAATTATGTGTGTGGGCACTTATCCAAACGTTGGACTAGCTCATTTCTTAGTTGTTGGCTGGGAAAATCATTTCAAGGAAGAGAACCACTTTGCCTGTCTCTTGATGTGTACCTCTGCCCCTCCCCAGGGTTTGTAAGGCAGAAACAGAGACTCTCACAGGATGGCTTGGAGGGTAGGCTTTTGCGCTCCTCCTTTTTCTGTTCTTACTTTCAGAGGAAGAGTTTAAGAAATGAATCTGGTAACATAAGGTTGTAAAGGCTCCAGAAGTGTTGTAGATGTGCCTTTTTCTCCACGTGGCCTTACCTACTCAAGTTTGTGGTGCAAAGCTGTTAGCAGTTGTTTCTATTCCTAAGAAGCTTTGAGTTGGTATGACTGCATGTCTTGCACAGAGACTTCAATTTCACTAATGAATGCTGCACCTGCCATTTACCTCCTTAATTATAAATGACAGAACTAGTCAGTGTGCTGATTAAAGATATTTTATAAAGTAAAACATACTGTACAGCAGCTGCTTTATGTGGAGCGGATGCCAAAATAACTTAATTGCCTTGCCATGTAAAGAGTGTTTTTAATGGAAAACAAAAATATTTAACGCTTTCGTGCTCTAACTTTAGAAATACATATTAAATGGGACAGAGCAATATTTATGTGCAATTTCCTGTGTTTTCTTTGAAGCCCTGCTGGCTGATTGGTAAGTATAACAACATTAATCTAGCGTTGCATCCACCGTAAGTAACATTTTTCCATGAAATTTATTGGAAGCTGGCTGTATTTGCAAAGTTGAACCTTGGAGCATTTTGGAGCTGTAATAAAGCACAATGAAACGCTTTACTAATGTTAATAATTTCTCAGTGACCTAATGAGGAAGCTTCTTAAATACTGTCATCATTTTCTAAGTAGGTTACAACCAAAATCAACCTTTGGTTTTAGTGATTAAACTTGACTGACTTCAGCAAAGCTGAGAAGTTTTACTGCCTTTGGAAAAAAGTGCAGAATTATGTGGTTGGTTTTTTTGCTTGGGGGAAAAAGCATTTCCCCCAAATGTTTTGGGGGGGGGGGGAGGTTTCCCGGCCTTTTTGGCCTTTTTTTTTTTTTTTTTTTAATCCCTATAGACTGTATGTGGTCATGAAAATTAGAAGCTAGGAAATTGCTTTCTCAATCTCTTTTTCTTAATGGGAATGGGTGAAATCTTATGGCTTTTATATTTTGAATGGTTGAGTATTAAATTGTGTACAGCATGGTATGTTTATCTGACTATATCATGGTGGCTGAGACTGGTGCATTAATTAGCTGTAGGTTTGGCTGGAAGGCAGCAAGGTCTGTAGTAAGCCCGTTCTATGCAAGCTAAAATTGGAGACAACTCTTTGGAAAGGTAGTGGGATGTATGTCTGTGCTGTAGGAGACAATCTCTAGATCACCTTAATTGCTCTTCTTGATGCAGATTTTGCAGGAATGAAGGACATTTTTTAGATGAGTTTTATTGATGATGGACATACAGGTTGTCTTCTCCATAGCATGCTCTGGCGCTGTGTATTTGGATAGTATACTCTAGAAGGGTCTTTGGTTTTATCTTCTGAACTCATGTGCCATATCATCCCCTGGTACTTTTTCTTGTAATTTTTCCTCTAAAATGAAATATGTTTAATGTTTTCTTTTCCCATGTCTGTCAGTTTGATCTCTTCCCAACATTCGTCCCTTCCCCCTATCCACTGAAGCTTTATTTTGCTGTTTAAAAAAACCCCACAGTTTTTAATCACTTTAGGTCATCTTATTACTGTTTTGTACCAACTGGCAATTGCAATTTATCTGCAAAGTTTGTTACCACCTGCAAATGCCATCTGTGGATCTCATGAACATATTCAGTCCTGCTTCTGTTTCTGAATATCATCAGAACCAATTTCAGTCTTTGCAGTATCCCACTAATCAAGATTTGCAGTCTATTGCTGTTTATCACTTTAACTTCTGAGAACATCAGTCTAAACTGATACAGCACTTTTCAGTGTGGCAGTTGGAGAGTTTCCCAGGCCTTGAAAAGCTCATCTTTTAATCTGTTTATTTATTTTTATTTTCTCCTTTAGGGCTTTCACTTTTTCATTATGACTAGTCATTGGGTTTCAGGTCACATTGTAGTGTTCCTGTCCAAGCCAATTTGAGTTGATTTTGGAGAGTAAGATTCTTGAGAGAGATTTTTATCAAATATTTTACTATTATTCAGATACTACATCTGTTGCTTTACCCTTCATCCCATCCTTTCAAAACTGTACGATAAAGCTGGTTGCTTTTGATTGATGAGACTTACTCGTGCAATTCCCCCTGCTGCTTATTTTCCATGATTCCAGTCTTTCCATAGTACAGTGATTTCCATTTCTTGTCTCCCATTCATTTATTATGGT